CGCATTGAACATCTTAGAGAGCCCGTGGTGGAAACAATGAATCCGATTGACCACCGCATTTTTGAGTGGAATTGAGATGACGAGTCGTTCGTCCATCCACAGGCAATTTTCACGCACGTGGAAATCGTATGTGTGTTGTCCCAGGTAAGCACCCATTGCTCTTATCTTCCGTTCCAGTTCAGGATCTTTGCTCTCGGCCAGTTCCTTTATAGTCCGCATTTGAGGATTCTCTTTGTAGTTGGACTCCACTAGTTTTAGATTGAATAATTTGGACAGGGCATCGCTCTTCCTGACGGTCTTGCAGTCTCTGGGAATTACTGACATGACCACATTTCCCGTGTATGCCGACGGAAACATCCCCCCCCAAACGCCGAAAGAAATGGAGATCACCGTGTTGCACTTGACGTCTCGAGTATGTGTTGTCTCCGCCTCCAGTCTAGCATCCACCACCTCTACCTCACTGCTACTCCCACTCGTAATTCCTGGATGTCTTAAAATTAACTTATTCAGTTTTTTTCAAATTTAGCGATGTCATTGTTGAATTGTTTTTCTTGTCAAAAAGAATGTTGTTGTTTGTAATGGAATTACTAGCAAAATCACGTAACTGACACTCAGTGATCGATTTGACGATATTCACGTCTTTGCGGTCATTACACCCAACTATACCCTTTACTGCATTCTGATTGGTTAACCGATTGTCACGCGTTCTGTCGCCCTCTTTCGATGGAGAATTGAGACTAGTTTCTGCAATTCGGCGCCCATTAGCTGAAACAACTAATTTCCTGGATGTTTTAATAGTCCTTTGGTGGTATTCTGTGTGCTATAACCGAGCGAATTGGTAATTGACTGCAATTTAGCAACCAGGAACGCGTTATCATAAAGGCTCACCCGCGTAGCTTCCCCCACCGGGTGCCTTGATAAATAGTCTACCAGGCCAATTTTAGCCCCTGGTATATGTTCAATTACAAAATCAAAAGGAAAAATTCGATCGATCCAACAGGTCAAACATCTGAACATTGTTTTGTTTTTCTTATTGTTTCCATTCAATAATGACACTAAAGCTTTGTGTGAACTAAAGCTTTATTTTTCTGAAGGCCATAATTTTTTCCAGGTAGCAAATAGGGCGTAACCATTTAAACAGGCGAGTTCCACAATTTTTTTTGAGCATTGAACTCGAAATTTTGAAATTGCTATGGTAGCGTTCAAGACAATGAAAAAAAATCCAAAAAAGGGTCAAAAATTTCACTCACAGACTTTTTCAAAGGCTCTAGACAGTCAATTTACAATGAAAAGAGGCTGCTTTTAAATGCAGGCCCACAAAAGGGATTTTTTTTATTGGTTTCCCTTTTTTGAAAATCAAAAATTAATTTTTAACAACAATTACAATTTTTTTTATTTTTTTTTTGAAAAACAATTACAAACCTTAGCTTTAGAACGAAACTTCTTATTAGACCCACCAGATAAATTTAAATGCTTTTGCAAAACAGAAACGGAAAGAAGCCGACTGAAAATACAAACAACATAAAAATTCGAAAAAATCAAAATTTTTGGCTCTTTTTCCGAACACCCCACCCCAACCTGCAAAAATTTTTTAGTGAAATTTTGTTCACATATTTTGAGTATTACAAAAACTGGCACGGAATCTCATTAAGCCAAGACAAACATAATTGGTTTTCATGCTTAACCTTCCGCTAAATCTCTCGTTACACTATAAAGTTGATGCTTATAAAAGGTGCGGGAAAAAAAATAGAGCCCAATTTTTTCAAAACAAAAGAAATAAAAAAAACTACGTCAATTGAACTAATGTCCGCTTTTGTTTGAACTTTCTTGAAACTGAGCTCGTCTGAGTAGCAGCTTAATTCGAGCAGCAATTTTACAAAAAAAAAACATGTTTACGGGAAAAAAGTCTAGATCCCGATATGAGTATCGCATGTTAGAAAAAAACGAGATCTTCAATCTTTAAAACAATACGTTACAAAAAAACTTATTTGAGTTGAAATTAGTTAAGTTTACACTGATTGTTGCGGACGTTTTGCAAGCGAGACTGTGGGTATTTGAAAAAAAAAACGTTGGTATATCATTATCTACAAGCAAACAGTTTCGGAAGAAAAAAGCAAAAAATATATAATTTTTACTTTCATAACGGCTGAAATCATAATAGCAGATTTGAACGATTTTTTCAAAAAAAAAGCAAAAAGATATAAAAACGAATTCTTTGCAAATGAATTGACTTCGCAAATGAATTGTTTCGACTTTATAAAAAATTCACGAGTTGTTTATTTGTGTAGAAAAAAAGGCCAAAAAAAGAATGTACAAGTTAGCTAACCGTAGCAACCACTCGTAATAGTATCAAATAGAAACAATACTGCCTAAATTGTGGCAAAGTCCTAGTTTTGACTGTCATTATGGATTTTTCAACATCTTTCCATTTTTTGTTACAATAAGCAATAAGAGCTGCCAAATAACATTGATAATATGAGTTGAGTTTTTTTATAATAAGTATTGTACTTTTAGGTAAGACTTACAAATTGCACGCCATAAAATTTTTAGAGACATATTTTTTGCGTCCAGTTTGTTACGATTCAGAGCACACTCTTTGCTTTGATTCAAAACTTGCACTGATTAAATGTGCAATTTTTGCAAGTTTGGCCTGCGGACTAATTACGCCTTTGCAAACCTTATTGGGTTGTCATACCTAACCTTATACACCTCTCGTTACATCGTTACACTGATGCATATGGAAGTAAAAAAGGAAAAAAAATAAAAGTTAAGAGGTTTCTGCGTTTATAAAAGCTAGTAGGCTACGAAAAACCGTCAACTTTTTTTTCATTAACTTGTACTAAAGGAACCTTAGGTCAGAGAAAAAAAATGTCAAGAGCAAAAAATTGCCCGAAACATATAAAATTTTGAATGAATGTACCTGCTAGCCAATTATGAGGCTAAAATGTAGCATAAGTGAACCCTAAACTGATTTTTTGGACTTTCATTGTTATTTTTCTTTGATCTTGTCAAGATAAATTTGTGATATGTTTGAAGACTTGTTGCATGATTTCAGGAGCCTGCATACCGGTGCATGTTAGCTCAAAGAACTGGATTTTGCATATATCTAGGAATTACTTTGGTCTCGTAAAGTACGTGATAACAACTATTTCTGGTTGCCATTTGGAGGATACTACGATTTAAAAAAAAAGGCAAAAAAAAATATTTTCGTTTTTATTTCAATTTTTTGAGAGCTTTAAACGGCATGCCATATAAACTTTGTGTCTTATTAGACCAGAAAATTGACACATCAAGATATTGAAACCCCATATCAGCAAACCAAGAAAAAGTTGAAACAATACCTACAACAACACAACAAAATATCTCACTTATTCATCCAACACTTACAACACCAAATGATAAAAAATACTACCATTCCACAAACACTTCAATCAACAGTCAACTTATCCTAGTGGATTATCAGTTTATAGACCAGTAAATAAAATACGATAATCTAACAAAAAAAACGCGCAGCTAGAAAAAATTTTCGCATATCACAATTAGCATATCGCAATCCAATAGCAAAGCCACTTTACACAACGCAAAGTCAGCTTTAAGAACATACCACAATCAGTTCTACGGTCATTCATTTTTAGGGAAAAACGAAAAACGGTTCTCGATTTTTTCAACAAAACAATAATCCAACGAACAAACAATGAATAAGAAGTCAAAAACAATATTATGAAGATGAA